ATGTACTCCAACGGGCTTTCCTGCTTGTGACCTTTATTTCTAAAAGTCATTTCGTCGAATTCGAAGGTCCGTTCCCGAACCCATTCTTCGTCCAGGAAATGGGATTGGATGCCGATCATCATGTTATCCCAATTGGCCGAGAAATAGTCTCGATCAGGGGCGGGCAAGGTTTCCCACCAGCTTTTGGCGTAGGAGGTCCATTTGAGAGGAGCTATCTGGGCTATGCCTTCCTTCATTTTGGAACTTAATGCCGATAGGAACCCCATCGAGCTTAGATAGTCAATAGCGGATTCTCCGGCACCGTTCCATTCAGGTAGAACGGTTAAATTCAACTTGTGGTTGATTTGCCATTCTTCCGGAGTACGCCACCACGGGGGGGGATCTTGGGAGGATGGCTTACTGTCGTCTCTACCCCCTCCACTTCCACCACCGCCTCCACCACCTCCTCCGCCACCTCCTCCTCCTCCGTTGCCCCTAGGGGGAACGTACCAGGAGTCTGGCAGGTTGGGTCCACCAGGATTGGAGCTAGGGCCTCCTCCGTGGCCATCGTTGTTGCTGGAAGGGGGGGATCCTTCGGAAGGAGGACCCTTGTTACGAGGAACAGGGGTTCCTTGACGATCCTCGCCGCCATCATTCGCTCGGGATGGTGGCTGAGCTCCGGTACGGTTGCTCCTTTGCTTAAAGGTATAACTAGTCCATGACTTAGGGCTTGGTATGCGCGAAGTAAACGCAGCAGGCGCCCTAAGTCGATTATTGTTGATGCTGGAAGCTACTGTCTCCGGAGCATTGTTCATAGTCATGGACTTGATCGAGGAGGTCCTCACAGCAGATACTCCTATCGTACCCGCTCCTGGCAACCGCGTCACTGCATGCTTTTTGGATAGCAGGACGGATATGGAGGTCGGTACTGGGGGTTCAGTGGTGAACCTGCACTAGTGGCTACCACTTTATTTCTATAACCTAGACCCAAGCCTAGAGGGTCATTTCTATAACTTAGACTTAAGCCTAGAGGCCATATCTATAATGCTTAGGATTTTTTGAAAGGCATTTCAAATGTAGGCCTGGGTATTTCATAGTGAATTTTCCATAGATACCCAGCGCATTTTCTGCAAAATTTCAAATGCAGCCCTGGATATTTCATTGCGATTTTTCAATAGATACCCTGGGCATTTCATTGCGATTTTTCAAATGTATCCCTGGGTATTTCATTGCGATTTTTCAAATGTATCCCTGGATATTTCATTGCAAAATTTCAATGGATACCTGGCGCATTTCATTGCGATTTTTCAATAGATACCCTGGATATTTCATTGCAAAATTTCAATGGATACCTGGCGCATTTCATTGCGATTTTTCAATAGATACCCTGGGTATTTCATTGCGATTTTTCAAATGTATCCCTTGGTATTTCATTGCGATTTTTCAAATGTATTCCTGGGTATTTCATTGCGATTTTTCAAATGTATCCCTGGGTATTTCATTGCGATTTTTCAATAGATACCCTGGGTATTTCATTGCGATTTTTCAAATGTATCCCTTGGCATTTCATTGTGATTTTTCAATAGATACCCTGGGTATTTCATTGCGATTTTTCAAATGTATCCCTGGGTATTTCATTGCGATTTTTCAATAGATACCCTGGGTATTTCATTGCTAAATTTCAAATGTAGCCCTGGGCATTTCATTGCGATTTTTCAAATGTATCCCTTGGTATTTCATTGCGACTTTTCAAATGTATCCCTTGGTATTTCATTGCGATTTTTCAAATGTATCCCTGGGTATTTCATTGCAACATTTCAAATGTAGCCCTGGGCATTTCATTGCGATTTTTCAAATGTATTCCTGGGTATTTCATTGCGATTTTTCAATAGATACCCTTGGCATTTCATTGCGATTTTTCAAATGTATCCCTGGGTATTTCATTGGGATTTTTCAATAGATACCCTGGGTATTTCATTGCAAAATTTCAAATGTAGCCCTGGGCATTTCATTGTGATTTTTCAAATGTATCCCACCATGTCAGGGTCCATGCAATAGGCTTC